GATACATGCCCCAGGCCCAGTTGATGCTGCTCATTACAGGGAAGCTGGGCTCCTATAGTACCCCAATCTTCACATAATGTCCCTCTATGTAACCTTGACTGTACATCATTAATGTTTGAAGTGTTTATAAATACACCTTTAAGTAAGTGTCTTAAATTGTGTGTTAATGGCCTGATGGGAATGAGTATTAAGTCGGCTGGAGTCTAAAGTGTATAATGAGTCCCATTGATTTCTCTGTTCTCAGCGCCATCTCCTTGCCATCTAGCCTCTCCCACAACTAGAGGAAATCTTTTTAAATCTTGAGAAGCAATTCCACTTTGCTCAAACTGCCCTTTTTCTCTAACATTTTGTTTCTGCTCCAAGTCCCATTGTTCTGCTGGAAGTGTAGCTCAAGTGGTAGAGCTCTTGCTTAGTACAGGCAAGGCCCTGAGCTCAGACCCCAGTACAGGGCTGAAGAGATGTCCCTCTATGCTGTTTCTTGTCCAAGCTTTCAAAACTAACAATGGGGAAACTATATAAAAAAGAGCTCATGGGGCTGGGAAGGTGGCTCAGTGGTAGAGCACTTGCCTTGCATGCCTGAGGCCCTGGGTTCAATTCCTCAGCACCACATAAGCAAAAAAGAAAAAAAGCCGGAAGTGGTGCTGTGGCTCAAGTGGTAGAGAGTTAGCCTTGAGCTGAAGAGCTGAGGGACAGCACCCAGGCCCAGAGTTCAGGTCTCACGACCGGACCCCCCCCCCAAAAAAAAAAAACTCATGCTTATTCAACTACAAGCTAGTCTTCATGGCCAGGCCAGTATTACCATATCACACTTTCTCTCCCTCTCTATGCTTTCCTTCAGTTCCTCAATGACGCAGTACCCTCCTTCTCCCCACAATGCTCTTCTCCTACCCTTTGTCTCCTTTAACCCTCATTCAAACCTCAGGTCTCAGCTTCAGACATATCTCTAACCTTGAGACTAGATCATAGTCTCAATTAAATAGTTTTGTAGAAATAGGTATTGCTCCTTCAGGATATTTATTGCTATTGCAATTATATTTGTGTCATTATTAAATATTGTGTTTTCCCCACCAGCCTGCCAATGCCACAGGAAGGGATTTTCCCCCCTACTCTTCACATTAAATCCTCACTGCTTAGCATAATGAGCACGTGAACCCTCCTGAATAATCTGACATTATTTCTCTTACTACAACTTTTAGAATTACTAGGCACTAACCAATTTTGTGAAAGTGCCCTAAGAAAGTAAATAAATTAGCTAAGATCAATATGGAGCTGGGCATTGGTGGCTCATCTATAATCCTAGCTATTCAGGAAGCTGAGATCTGAGGTTCAGCGTTTGAAGCCATCCCAGACAGGAAAGTGTAGGAGACTCTAATCTCTAAGAAACCAACAAAAAGTGGAAGAGGTGCAGTACCCAGGCCCTGGGCAGAGCGGGAGTGGGGAGTGGGGGGCTATCAGTCTGAACTTCTTCTTAAGGATATAGAGCTACCATTCCTCTTACAAAATCTATAGGATATTCATCAGCTTTGGAAATAAAAAAAAAAGCTCAAAGCTTATATCTCACAGCCTAAGTACAAGCAGATGTTGTAAAAGATTAATCTTTCCACTTAAATATAACATCTTTTGACTTAAGCCTTAATTTCTTCTCGTCATGATTTAGATATAGTAGGATTCACTACCCCTCCCAGAATTCTTCTGGGCACAGGAGCAGGAGTTGCCCTAAATAGAAAGGGTGTAACAACTCAGTAAACTCGTCTATACAGGTCAAATAACTCTACCAAGCACTCAAAGCTGAAAGATGGAATTCTGGGCCTTCTTTGGGGAACCATCCTAGTTTGCTCGGGTAATAACATGAAATTTGTTTTTATCTCTAGGCTGAGTTATCTGTCTTGCAATCTTGAAAATAAGGCGTGGTACTAGGCCAAAACAGTGACTTTGCATTAACCAAGCAGAGTGTAATGGCTTATAAAGAGGAAGTACAGGAAAAACAAAACAAAAGCCTGATCTTTATTTCTAATAGAGCAAACAAAATCATCTGTAACATTTTGCTTAGTTCTTCTATGGAGCACATATTTCAATATACCTACAACTTGCTATGTATTCATTTAATAGGTACTCTTGAGGATATATTTTTTTTAAAGTTTATACAATAGTACCAACTTAACCATAATCATGTTGAGAGTTGAAACAAACAACTAGGAGAATATAAATAATGTGGAATAAAGTGGAATACTTTATCTTCAATTTTTTTCTCCTATACATAGTGGCTATGAGTGTCTGATCAATGAAGTAATTCCTTTGGACTTAACATAATACATGAAGATAAACATGTCACCTATAATACATTAAACAAGTAGGTCTCATTTTTCACCAGTTCAGTCCATGCTTTACTGAGCAAGGAATTTACTAGCTTTATGATGAGCATAAGATATTCATCAGCCGGGCACCGGTGGCTCACACCTGTTACCCTAGCTACTCAGGAGCCTGAGATTTAAGGATCTCAGTTCAAAGCCAGCCCAGGGAAAGGAAGTCCGTGAAATTCTTATCTCCAATAAACCACCAGAAAACCGGAAGTGGCACTGTAGCTCAAGTGGTAGCGTGCTTGCCTTGAGCTGAACTGCTGAGGGACAGCACCCAGGCCCAGAGTTCAAGCCCCATGACCGACAAAGAAAAAAAAAAAAGATATCAAGGAGGAGATTTTACTTCCAGTGGTGCTGGTACTGTCTTTCCTAAGATACAATCCTCTCTGCAGAGCCCCTATTGGGCCTGTATAGAAGGGGATTCTTCACAACCTCTGTAGTGTGTGTTTAGAAAGCTCTCATTCACTGACATCTTCCCTCTTTCCCTCTCCTTTCCAATCAGTCTTGTATAGAGTGAAATCAGAGTTTGAGATTTGAACTCAAATGTGGAGCTAGGCAGGCAAAATAAAACCTAGGGCTTTGATTTACTCATTGTCCTATTTTATCCTGAACTAAACCTTTTACTAGGAGTTCAGTTGTCACAAGTTGAAGAACAATGACCTAAATTCAACATAAGATTTGTCCTTGATAAAGGAGAAAGAATCAAACACATTCTTGTAGCAGTAGGAATTTATAAGTAGAGAAACAAATATCATATTTAATTTTTTAAAAAGCCAATTGTAACTCAAGTTTTTTGGGATTTTTTGTGCCTGCCCTCTGGCTTGTACTCAGGACCTAGGCACTGTCCCTGAGCTTTTTTGCTCAAGGATAGCATTCTACCACTTGAGTCACAGCTCTACTTCCAGATTTTGATGGTTAATTGGAGATAAGTTTCTCACTGACTTTCCTGACAGGGCTGGCTTCAAACTACAATCCTCACTGTCACCTGGCCAAGTTAAGATGAAGAAGGAAGGAAGGAAGGAAGGAAGGAAGGGTGGGAGGAAGGAAGGGAGGGAGGGAGAAAGGAAGGAAGGGAGGGAGGGAGGGAGGGAGAAAGGAAGGAAGGGAGGGAGGGAGGGAGGGAAAGAAAGAGAAAGAAAGAAAAGAAAGAAAGAAAGAGAAAGAAAGAAGAGAGAGAGAAGGGAGAGAGAGGGAAGGGAGGGAAGGAGGGAAGGAGGGAGGAAGAAAGGAAGACATAAGAAAAGAAAGAAGGAAATGAAGGAAGGAAGGAGAGAGAAGGAGAGAGGGAGGGAGGAAGGAGAAAGAAGAAGAGAGGGAGGGAGGAAGGAGAGAGGGAGCGAGGAAGAAAAGAGGGAGGGAGGGAAGGAGAGAAGGGAAGGGGTGGTGAGGAGGGGAGAGAGAAGGGAGGAAAGAAAAGAAAAGAAAGGAAAGACAGAAAGAAGGAGGTAAGATGCTTTTAATTTTAATAACCCATGTTTCATTCTAAAAGAAACTTCCAAATTGTTAATATATTTTAAAGCTCTTACTAAGTCTCAAAAGTAGAGCAAATCAACAGTGACAAATAAAAATAGCTTCTATGAATATTTACTTCCAAATGTGTTATCTGCTGGCAGATTAATAATTCATAATAAAAATAATCTGAATGCTTTGCATTTTTACGAAGTATTTTTCATAGGGTACCTAAAATAGGTGTAAATTAAACTAGCATACTACCTTATACTGAATGATAGAAAAGTCTGACATTGTTATAATTTTTAAAACTCTTTTGGATAGAAATGAATTTCACACAGTCTCTTAAAGGATACAGTATATAAAACATTCTCAAACAATTTTAATCCAAATATTAAACTTAGGAGAAAAAATTTAACTATCAAAATATGCTAAAAGGACATTTTGTTTTTCCTGCAAAAAATCAAGATTAGAATTAAATATCATAAATTTAAAGGTTGAGCTGTTACAATTAAATATTTAAGCACCATATAGTTTCTTTTATAGTAACTACATTTGATTCTTCACATTTACATTTTAAGATTAATCCTATGAAAATAGATATGAGTTTAATAAATATTCTACTGAAGTATTTTTCTATTAGACACATGCAAATACATATGTTTATTTAGAAGGACCCATTTCTTCTGGTAATCAATGACACAAAACTTGATAAGGTCATAGTTTTACATTTGATCTTATATGCATGAAACTTGAAATTAATAACACATATACTTTCAATCATCTTGGTGCATAGATAGGTCAAATTCATTTTTAATGTTTTATATCATTTTATAAGGAAGATTAACTATAAGAAAAATAACTTAAAATGACTTGGGTACTTAGAAGTTTAGTTAGAATAATATGGTATATGTATAACCTTATAAAAATAAGTATTTAAACTATTGATTTTGTTTCTTAGCCTAAGAAGATAAAATATTCTAGAACATGATCTAAACAAAAAAAAACACTAAGAAAATATCACCAATTCCATGTGTATAACTCAGACAGCTGAAGAGTTGTTAAATATACATACTGTTTTTAAGTACAAAACTTCTGAAATATATTTTCTACTCCCTGAAATCTTGCTCAGTAGAATTTTACATTTTTACTGACTTTATCATTATTTATCATTTATTTACTTAGCTAGTCAGATCAAAGGCTTTGGTGATCAAGCCAAATTTAAAAAAATTTCTATTTAAGTGGTAATTTTCTTTGCATACCATATATAATAAAATACATCAAGAAGTTATTCTTCAGATGTATGATACATAATTATTTCAATGATAAAGAGTTAATAAAATTTTCAAGGTCTGCTAAAGAGTCATGAAGCCCATCATTCATATCTTGACTCCTAAGAAATTTTTTAAGAGTGTCTAAAGCAGTAACTGCTTCAGTTTTTGATGGTATAGGGGATTCCGTTTCTAGAGACCCCCCATCTTCCTCTTCATCAGAAGTATAAAATCCAGTCTCATCAGATTTACTGTCTTTGGTCCATTCCAAGTCCTCGCTTGGTGCTGCTTCACAAGTCTCCAGATCGTCATCCAGGGCAGCATACTCCTCTATAGACAAACCCTCGGGAAATTCCACCCCTGCCCCTAGAGCATGGGCCACCAAGTCAATACCAGTATCGCTCTCTGCACTTGTTGAGTCGTTTTCTCCCTTCAGAGACTTGAATCCTGCTTCTTCATAGCTTTTAACAATTGTCTCTGGGGTTACAGCCCTCCAACAGAGATGCAGTGTGTCAACTGCATCGAGTAGTGAAAATGTAAATTCTTTGCTACCTTCAACAGAGCTTAAAAATTTCTTGATGAGACAGTGTCGATATTTGATTTTAAGACTTTTAATAACACCTTGTTTCATTGCTACAAACTTGGAAGATAAACAGGATGGAAAGAATGCTAGCTCAATGGACTTTAGGTTCTTTACCTCTGGATGTGCAGGAAAAGAGTCAACAAAAATCACCACTCTTCGTTGCTGAGCTTGAAACTTCTCATCAAGCTTCTGCATCCACTGTTCAAAGATGTCTGGGGTCATCCATGCCATTCTGTTAGCTTCATAATACACAGGCAATGACTTTAGACCTTTGAAGCAATGTGGACTTCTGTTTTTCCCAATGATAAGCAAAGGAAGTTTCTCTGAGCCATCCATGTTTGTACCAACCACCAGAGTTATTCTGTCTTTGTACAGTTTTCCAACTGAGCAAGTTTCTCCTTTAAATGCAAATGTATTTGTAGGTAACATACGATAAAGGAGTCCAGTCTCTTTGATATTAAAAACATTTTTAGGATGATAATCATTTAAATAGTAAGGTAGAATATTTTGGTACCAGACAGATGATGGGTCTACTGCTATGCCTGTGGCTTCTACAGGTTGTGCTCTGAATACTAAACCATACCTGGATTTAAAACGGTCCAGCCAACCATTACTGCATTTAAAATCATTATGTCCCAGTTTCTGGGCAAAATCATTAGCTTTCAGACGCAACATTGGACCATTAACTGGTACATTTAGACACTGAGCAATTCGATACCATCTCATTAATGCCTCTTCTAGGTCCGTATAAAAAGCAGTTCTCAGTCTTTTCCTCTTTGGATCAAATCTCAGCGATTCAAAGGCTTCTAGAACTTTATCTTTGTTTTTCATAATAGAAGACAGTGAATTTTTCTTTATTCCATATTCAGCTGCAATCTCGGCTTTTTTCTTGCCACTTTCCACTGCGTTTATGATGTCAATCTTTTCCTCAATGGACAGACTTTTCTTTTTCTTCACCGTTACAGGGAGAGTTGAGGCATCCACAGGCGCTTCTGCCATCTCAGCCAGAGGGGATACAGATTTCTCCTCTTACTTCACAGTATCAGTTTCTTTGATTTGTTTTACAGCATGACACAGTGTGCTGCTTTCTATCTATTTCATATATTAGATACCGGCAGGTGTCTAGTTAAGTCTTATTTCTCAGGAAATGTGTGACTAAATATCCTTTTTCAAAGGACCCGAAGAAGGAAAATGTTAGATCCAACTAGAATGGCTGAAAAGAGAAACTTATGTCCTAGGATCTTGGGTAGCCCAGTTTATAGTTTACTCAGAGTTCCAAAAGTCAAGCTAAAATAGAAATCTCATTATGTCAAACCTGTCCAGTCCTGCCGATATATTTTTGGAGCTGAAATCCTTTAAGATGATCATTTTATCCATGTGCACTTTTATTAATTCTCCACCAAAGGCTTCAAAGAACAAAACATCTGAAAATTGTCATGTGAATGTTACTCATTAATTTCCAAGTCTCTTCAAGGATAGAGAAGAAAATGATAGCTTGCTTCTACAATTTGCTAGTGCATCTTCTCTGTCTTTTGGGAGGGGGAAGCAGAAATTTAAGCAGTAGGTCAATTGAATATAAAAAGATTATTTAAGTCAATTATTATGCTCTAAACAAGAAAAAGAATGGGAAGATGTTTTTGGAAAATATAACTGAAGTTTTCAGGAGAAACTTACCTTTCAGAAGCACCTCTCTGTAGAATGCTCTGTAGATCTACACTGTGCATTTGAATTTTTGTTTCTTTGAATCCTTGGGAATATATACTTCTGAAATAAATCAGACAAATTTAATCTGCATTGAAAATGTGGACTTACCAAAATTAAAGAACTAAAAATGATGTTGGATATATTCTTAGGGGCTATTTCTTTTACATGAGATCATAGACTGTACCCTCTGACTTTTCTAAAAGAAATAACATAGTCAGACGATAGTCACGAGGCTCAACTTTTAATAGCATGTAGGGACAGTGTCCCTTTATAGGAGTCTGGAAGAAATGCTGAACTAAAAAAAAATTCAAATCAAGCAATTGATAATTCTGTTTAAAAAAATATAAGCCTCTTTCTACATAAAAGCTTAAAAATCAAGTAACTTTTTTGGGGGGGAGGGGTCTGGTCATGGGGCCTGAACTCTGGGCCTGGGCGCTGTCCCTCAGCTCTTCAGCTCAAGGCTAGTGCTCTACCACTTGAGCCACAGCGCCACTTCCGGCTTTTTTCTTTTTGCTTATGTGGTGCTGAGGAATTGAACCCAGGGCCTCAGTCATGCAAGACAAGCGCTCCACCACTGAGCCACCTTCCCAGCCCCCCAAACCCAGTAACTTTTACATCAGTGTAACACATTAGTTGAATGTACATGGGCCAGAAATACCTGAGACAATGCATGGCAATAAACTTTTTTAGTAAGAGGATTAGTGAAATAAAAAAAGACTAAGCAGGAAGACGAGGGATGGTTGTGATCTTACCTTCTCAGAACCTCTACTACCTTACAGAATGACATGGATTTGGAAAATAACAGATCTGAATTGAGAGGAGACTCTGCCATTTAGCACTCAATGTAATCCTACTTTATTTTCTTACCATTGAGATAAGAGAGGGTTACTCTCACATCACTTCACAGGGTGATTTCACATTCAATGAGATCCAGTGACTGAGAATAAGGCACTTAGCATAGTATTTAACAAATATATGGTTATGGCCCCCTCCTTCTTATTGTCATTTCAAGTCTTTTCAGTCTTTCCAGAATCTACAATCCAGGGATTTCATGAAATTCCATACATATATGGAAGCAAGAATCCCATATTAAACATATGCTAGAAGCAGGGCACAGAAGCCCAGGAGTACTCTGAGAATACTCACAGGGAGGGCCCCAGATGGGCTTCCTTCCACCTTCCTAGTATCTATCATCTCTGGTCTACTGCAGCCAAGATAGCAGATGTGTGCCAGGAAAAAAAAATTGTATAACTTTTTATCTAGCAAGTCTAGATCCTCGGATTTTACTCTCAAAGGAATACTTATAGATGTAAAAATAATTTCTCAAAGTATGTGAATTTTCTGTTGCTATGTAACAAATTATCATATGTTTAGTACCTTAAAACAATAACCATTTATTACCGCATACCCTTCTATAGGTCAGAAGTAAGGTACACTCAACTGGGATTGCTGTTTAGGGTCTCATAAAGCAGAAACTGTGACATCACTCAGAGGCTAAGGTCTTATCTGAGGGCTGCAGGAAGAATTTGCTTCCAATCCCATTGAGGTTGTTCACATAATTCACTTCCTTGCTGTGAGACTGAGGTCCCTGTGGTTTTCTTGGCTGTTGCCAGGGGCCACTCTCAGAGTTCCTTGGGCCCACTATCAGGTCCTTTTCTGTAGCCCTCTTCATTTTACCACAGAAAATATTCCTCCTGTTGAATCTCTTCTGCACTTTGAATCTCTCTGATTTCCTCTACTGTCATTGGCAGAAGAAAGCTGCTTTTAAAGGGCTCGTGTGATTAGGTCAGGCCCATCCAGATTATCTCTCCTTTGAGAAACTCAGTCACCAGATTAGTAACTTCAGTTTTACCTGAAAAATCCCATTGCATGTATAATCATAGGAATGTAATCACAGGAATGTTTTCTCATTGTATCCCCAAGGGAGGGAAAATATAAGAAATCATTGTAGAATTCTGCATGCCACACAAGAATATGATTACAGGGCTGGGAAGGTGGCTCAGTGAGAGTGCCTGCCTTGCTCATGCATGAGGCCCTGGGTTCGATTCCTCAGCACCACATAAGCAAAAAAGAAAAAACCAGAAGTGGTGCTGTGGCTCAAGTGGTAGAGCGCTAGCCTTGAGCTGAAGAGCTGAGGGACAGCGCCCAGGCCCAGAGTTCAGGCCCCACGACCAGACCTAAAAAAAGAAAAACAGAAAAAAAAGAATATGATTATAGACAAAACTAGAAACAACCTATATGTTCAATAAAAGGATTAGTTAAGAAAATTAGGGAATATTTCTGTGTTGAAATGCTACTGAGCCACTGAAGAACAACTTTAATGGTATGAAAAAGATCTGATAAATACAAAATATGAAAGTAGAGACAGCAGATACTGAAAATCATAAGAGAGAGGACACACTGAAAATAGTCCTTCAGTGCTCAGTGTCGGCAAACATTAGGTTCCCAATAATTATTGGCTAAATAAAGGAAAACATACACATAAAGAAAAATAGATACTGGCCAAAAATGTTCAGCATTCCCTCTAGGTAATTGAACTATAAATAAATTCAGTACTTTTCTCTTTATATCTTAAAAAAACCACTCATTTTATTTTTCCAATTCTAATGCCCTATTTGTGCCAAGTTATTTTTTAAAAATCTCAGTATTAGAGTCATAAAGTTGGCATTGTTCCCACTCAGAGTATCCAGGGGTAATAAGTTACTCATTTTTAATCAGTAGTTCACAGTTCTCTGCAAGACAATCAACCACTTTCCAAAGTGAAGGAAGCATTTATTCTCTGTCTTCCACAAATAGATAGCTACCATGCCCACTTAATCCTGTCTGCAACATTACTGTAAATAGCACCAGTTGCTGGAATTTGCCTATGTGCAGCATATAAACTTATTTCACTAACAAGCAGTTTCTAGGTGCTATAAGACAATAAAATGAGTCCCTAGTTCAGCACCTCAAAAAGGATCATGGGAAACAAATATGTAAATATGCAATGACAGGAGCTGGGGTTCAAAGTCAAGGGCTGTGGGAAGAATGAGTCCATATGAGAAGTAGAACCTGAACTCAACTGTAAAGGATGGATAAGGACATAAAAGGTAAAGAGAGAGAAAACTTTTCTACTGGAAAAAGAGGGAAAAAATGCAGGAGGGAAAGTGTAGGGCAATATAAAAAGCATAGTAAGTAGGTCCATGTAACTAAAGTTTTCTGTGTTGATGTCCATATTACTTGGCTAAATGAGAACTTTTTTTTTTTTTTTGGTTATTCATGGGGCTTAGGCACTATCCCTGAGCTCTTCAGCTCAAGGCAAGCACTCTACTGCTTGAGCCACAGCACCACTTCCAGTTTTCTAGTGGTTTATCAAAGAGTCTCATGGACTTTTCCTGCCTGGGCTGGCTTTGAACCTCAATTCTCAAATCTCAGCCTCCTGAGTAGCTAGGATTACAGGAGTGAGCCACTGGCACCCAGCTAAAGGAGCACTTTTTTTCTGAGTATTGGTTTAGTTTTCTATAAACTGCATTATATACACCAGAAAAACAGACTGAGGTCAGACTTTGTTAAACCCTGAATGCCAGAATAAAGAATTAAAATTCATCAGTATGTCACAAATGCCATTTAAAGGTTTTGATGGGAAGGATGACAAGATCACATCAGTTTTCCAGTTACCATACCACATGCTTAAAAGAGAACACACCTGCTTTTAGAAAGAAATGCTACATAAGAGCCATAATGTCACTTAATTAATCACATATACAGGTATAATCTACTCATAACTGAATAAAGTTGTACATGTACTTGTTATAAAACTGCCTCAAAATGTTAAGAAGTTTGCTGGGCGTTGGTGGCTCATGACTATAATCCTAGCTGCTCAGGAGGCTGAGATCTGAGGATCATGATTCAAAGCTAGCTCAGGAAAGTCCTGAAAACTTTTATCTCCATTAACAAGCCAAAAGCCAGAAGTAGAGTTGTGGCTCAAGTGGAAAAGCACTAGCCTCAAGCAAAATAGCTCAAAGACAACACCTAGGCCCTGAGTTCAAGCTCTAGACCCCCTCCCTCACACAAACCATGAGTTAAGAAATCCTTGCCATGGGCTGGGAAGGTGGCTCAGTGGTAGAGTGCTTGCCTTGCATGCATGAGGCCTGGGTTCGATTCCTCAGCACCACATAAGCAGAAAACCCGGAAGTGGCGCTGTGGCTCAAGTGGTAGAGGGCTAACCTTGAGCTGAAGAGCTGAGGGACAGTGCCCAGGCCCAGAGTTCAAGCCCACAACCGACCAAAAGAAAAGAAATCCTTGCCAGAAATGAGTGGATCATACCTATTATCCTAGCAACTCAGGAGGCTGAGACATGGAGGATCACAAGTCAAAGCCAACTGGCAGAAAAAAGTACCAGCCCTGAGCAAGATAGTGCCAGAATCTGACTGGACTAGAAAGTACTTGATAATTAGTAATATGTTCACCAAGGCACAATAAGCAGCAGCAATTCCAAGCAATTCTGAAAGAGGCAGAATCTCTATCAAAACCATCAGCAGGTGCAAAGGCATTATCTAGCTAAGGATAACAACTAAAGCAAGTGTTCACTTTCTAAACATAAGAAACAACCTCTAATTTTAACAATGTAACAGATTAACTTTGGTGAAGCTATACTCCAGATAGGAAACAAAAATCCTTAGAGACTGCCCAATTTAAGTACACGTTGTCCACATCATTTTTTTTAACCAGGCCCTTAAGTCACCCTTCCAAAACTTGCATTCATCTGCAAGTTCTGTAGCTACCCCGTTCCTACACAATAAGAGCCGTGATAAATCCAGATTGGGATCCTAATAA